TCTTGCACGGATTGATTTGATTTCCATTATTTCTTATGGGGAAAATTCATTCGCATAATGATAATTTCGCATAACAATGAGCTCTCTTGCACGGATTAATATCGCTATGCGGGGGTCCACTGTTAAGGGAATTAATTTTTCAGCTGGAAATGTGACTTCAAGATGTAGTTTTATAAAATTAACCATATTGTGAAGTAAAGTATGTCCTCACTTAATGTCGTTGATAGGTTATTAGAAACTACAATTTTAAGCAAAACGAAGTACAGTAGGGCCCCACTTATATGGCAGGTTAGGTTCAAATCTACCGCCAGAAAGCGGACATTTCCCGATAACAAGTTTACACTAACATATATTAAGTTAGTAATGGAAAATTGATGAAATTATGCTCTCGCGAATTTTGATGTGTCAGCGATATTTACGAATTGGCGATTTTGCCGACTTTGACTCCCATTTTAGGCCAATTACATTATTCCAGTCAACCAAATTCTTAGCTATTTCACTAGTATTACTTCTATTCTATCGATTGAGCACAAGAAATCGCCAAGTCAACTGTTTCAACTACAAATTAAAGTGATCGGAAATTGTTAATTTGGCCAATTTAACACAAAGTTCAAAATATTCCAATTTCAAAATAGGGTCCAGAATAAACAATGTAGGTATTTCTGGAACTAAACTAACATTTCCTCTGTTCATTAGTTATGTTTTGAGGCTTTACAAATAAATTCCGTTTTGATTTTTTATTCACATAATGAATTTTTATTCACACCAAAAAATAGAAGATTTACTGTTATGCAATATTGTAATAATTGTATAAATATCATCACCATATTTGTGAATGCATATTAGACCCACCAGCTGGCGTGTATTAGACGTGTGAGGTCGTTTGTTTACTCTTGAATATCAGCAAAAATTTAACATTTCTGCTACTTTGAGCTCAGTTTCAAGCCATTTCCAGTGCAAAAACCAATCAAAATCATCTCTATTTCTGTAATATGTCTTCCATTCTGTCAAATGAGACCAAGAAATTGCAAATACAACTATAAAAAACATACGAAAAAACACTGCAAAGTCGCTGTTTTAATCAAAAAATCATGATTTCAGTTTTTTTCTCTCATTATACACAGTGTGCTGCAGGATCTGTTTTATGTGGTGCACACATACCACATAGATGTATTCTCTCATATCTAGGCCCAAATGTAACACTCAAAGTTTATCAGAGTGAGCTGAGCTCATGACGTAGATCTACGGTTTGGACCCTGAACGTAAAGCCGTAGATCTATGGGACGGACCCTGAAAGGGTTAATTACCTCAAAATATTTGTAGTCTTAATGTAGGGTAAGAGGCGAGTAGTATTTATTGTAAGAAGTCATGTGTAGTAGATATGGTAGCTCTCCTGGCCAACCCACCCACATGTAATATACTTTGACATTTAGAGAGACCTAGAGTGATAAAATTCATATACAGTACACTCATTACTTGCCTTAAAATATTTGTAGTCTTAATGTAGGGTTAGAGGTGAATAGTATTTATTTGTAGAAAGTCAGGTGTGGGAGGTATGGTAACCAGCTTGGCCACCCCACCTACTAACGACATTTAAGGCGCCCTAGAGCAATAAAATGCCTATACAGTACACTTATTACTTACCTTAAAATACCTGTAGTCTTAATGTAGGGCGAGAGGTGAATAAATGAGAGAGAGAGAGAACGAGTAAATACAAGAAAGCTGCAGAGCATGTAAATCAACAGATGAACACGTCTGGTTTTGGTTGAGGATGACATAAAATTTGGGTAGAATATCAGATTGAAAGGGGTGAGAATGGAGGAAGTGATTGTATTCGGATATTCAGGAGTGGGCTTTGAGAGATGAGATGAGCCATAGAATTGATGGGGGAGGGGGGGAGAAAGGTGGGTGATGCATTGAGGTATCTGTGGAGACAACGGTTTCCATGGGGGCAAAAAGGGGAATATATGAAGCATAGATTATGAATGTTGTAGCAAGGAGGAGGCTGAAGGCAGTGGAAATGTTGTATCTGAGAGTAGTGTGTGGTGTAAATATTATATAGAGAATTCATAGTTTGGAGGTTAGGTGGAGGTACAGGATTATTAAAAGTACGTACTATTCAGAGGGTTAAGGAGGGGTTATTGAGGTGGGTTATTGAGGTGGTTTGGAGAGGAAAGAGCAAAATAGGATGACTTGGAGGGTGTATAAATCTGTAGTGGAGGGAAGGTGGGGTAGGGGTTACTTTAGGAAAGGTTGGAGGGAGGGGATGAAGGAAGTTTTGTATGAGAGGGGCTTGGACATCCAGAAGGCATTTGTGAGCATGTTAGATTGGAGTGAGTGGCAGTAAGTGGGTTTTATGACTTGATGTGCTTGTGGAGCATGAGCAAAGTAACATGAAGGAATTCAGGAAAACTGGACTTAGTCCTGGTCTCTGAAGGAGGGGTGGGGATATTTGCAGTTTAAAGGGGCATTTGAACTGTAGTATAGGCACACCTCTGGCAAGACAGTGATAGTGTGAGTGATGGTGAAAATGTTTCTTCTTTTTTTGGGTCACCTACCTTGGTGGGAGACAGCCATTGTTAAAATAAAAATTACTCTCAAACATGACATATATCTGCTGCCTTTAGCCTCTTCTGAAACACACAGTTTACGTGTTTATTAAACCAAACTTCAGGACTAAACTTGGAAATTCAGCTAAGACATTGGTCAGTGGATGATATGACCCTATTAACCATTTTACTGTCCAGACCCCCAAAATGGTAGAAAATCTTTTTCTGAAGGTAATGACACCAAAGTTAGCAGTCTGGGCGCAATTTATGCATCGACAATTTTGCTGACTTTGAGTCCTATTTCGAATCAGTTTCATTGCATTGTTTGACCACATTATTAGCTGTTTCGCTAGTATGCCTTCCATTCTGTCTGTTGAGCATAAGAAACCACTCACTTGGCTATCAACTACCTTTATAATTTGGCCAATTTTACACAAAATTAAAAAAAAAAAAAAGTACCAATTTAAAAATAGTGAAAAATATATGTACAACGTAGACATTCCTAGCACTAAAATATTTTCTCTGTTCATTATTACACTTGCCTTCCATTTTGAATTCTTAACCACAAAAATAGAAGTTTTACTCTATTTCCCAGATAATAAAATATAACCAGGAATGATTGGTGATGGTTTATGGTATCCCAATAATTGAATCAGACGTATTAAAAACCCATAAAACAGACTGGGGGATGTAGAGAGGTATCGTCCATCTTCAGGAAAATCGGCAAAAAGAGAATATCTCTGCTAATTTGAGCCCAATTTTAAGTTACTTCTTGTCCTGAAACCAACCAAAATACCTGTGTTTCAGTAGTATGTCTTCCATTCTATCAAATATCATGAAATAGCCAATAAAACCATCCTAGAAAACGCCTCAGAGTTGGAGTTTTGCTTTTCCCGTCATGCACCACGTGGGGCAGGATTTTTTTTATACTGTGCACACTCACTGTGCTGACCCATTCTCTCATATTTAGGCCAAAATTTACCACTCACAGCTTACCTGAGCTAAGCTCATGACATAGACTTATGTAAGGGGACCCTGGCCTCAATGACGTAGTTCTACGTGACAGTCTATAAGAGGGCTGCCCTCTTGAAAGAGAATCATTCACGTTTTTATCTTGTATGCTTCTTTGGATAAAGTAATAAAATTTAGCCTTTATATTCTGTATTAAATATTAAACCTGCATTTATTTTGACTTCATTAGTTGTCACAAAGTTAAAATGAAGCTTTTGAGAACTAAGAATGCATTATATTATAATGGTTTCAGTTACTAGATATAATACAGTGGAACCTCAAAAATCGAACTTAATCCATTCCAGGAGCTAGTTCTAAATTCGAAAAGTCTGAAATTCGAAGCAATATTTCCCATAAGAAATAATGGAAATACAATTAATCCGTTCCAGAAACCCAAAAATATTCACACAAAAAATACATTTTATAGGGATTAATTACAGTTTTACATACAACAAATACTATAGTTTTTAATTATGTATAGTAATACATATAAAATAACATTTTTACTTACCTTTATTGAAGATTGGTGATGGCATCTGGAAGATAGGAAGGAGGAGAGAGGGAGTTTGGGTTAGTGTTTGGAAGGAGAATCCCCCTCCATGAGGACTTCAGGTAAAGCCCTCTCTGGGGTTACTTCCCTTCTCTGTCTTTTAATGCCACTAGGACCAGCTTGAGAGTCACTGGACCCCTGTCTCACAAAATAACTGTCCACAGTCCTGTTTCTGATGCCTCTTTAACATTTCCCTAAAATGGGACATGGTTCTGTCACTGAACTTGTTGCAAAGATGGCTTGTTTCAGCTTGCTCAAGGTGGTACTTCTGCACAAACATTTGGACATCATTCCACTTGGCACAAATCTCCTTAATCTTTGAAGAAGGCACCTCATCCACTCCCTATATTAACACCTTTCGCAACATCAGCTTCCTTGCTTTGTTCTTTCTTTGACAGGATAGAACAGATGGTCGACTTGTTTTTCCTATACATCCTGGCAAGCTCAACAAGTCTCACACCACTCTCATACTTCTGTATTATTTCTTTCACATCTATGGTGTTTCTCACTTCCTTTACCACAGGGGTACCACTAGCAAGTTTCTTTGGGCCCATGGCAGCTTATTTCAGTCCCACAAGCACTAAACACAACAAAATAATCGTAAAATGTGTGAATGAGAGCGCAGGTTAGTGTTCATTCAAGCATAAACAAAGCTAGACTGCTCACGGCGCCTGCGCGGGGACGCGGACAGAGCGGGCCGGCAGACAGGTCCCGTACCCGGCGGTCCGAAAATAGGGGCGCGTTCGATAATAGGGACACAGTTTGTCCGAAAAAATGGTCCTATTTTCGAAACGTTCGATATGTGATATGTTCGAATTTTGAGGTTCCACTGTAGTATATAACTTACGGAAGCTGATTGTGGGTATATCAGAAATTTATTTTATTTTCAGCGTGGTGATACCCAGGAATTCACTCAGTGTTTCACTTTTGCCTGCCCAAAGTTTCTAAGTCCTGTACCTCCACCATTCGACTCTACGCCAGCCAACTATCCTAAGGAACCTTTGCAGCAACAATTAAAGGTAAACATAATCATTCTTTAATATATTTGTAGATGGTGTTGTAATAAAATGACTAAGTGTTGGGGGATAGGTGAAGGTAATAACAATATTAAGTGGGAATCATCACACTTGCTCTTTGCTGATGACTGCGTTTGGGACATTTCTAAAGAAGCTATAGAAGTTGCAAGACTGTGTAAAAGAAAGTGTAAGTGAATATGCAAACATGTAAGTATGCTTTTTCTCCATGGGGAAGTGGAGACAGCAACTTCCTCCATAAGCCATACATGTTGTAAGAAGCAACTAAAATGCCAAGAAGAAAGGGCTAGTAACCCCTTCTCCTGTGTAAATTACTTAGCCCTTTGAGTGTCATGATCCTTGCTTGCAAACTTGCCCATAGGGTCAAAGAATTTAAAAAAAAAAAAAGTTTTATGAAATGATGATAATCTTTTTCCAAAGGTAATGAAACCAAAAGTTTGAAATTTGATGGAAAACTTAGGGAATTATGCTCTTGCAAAATTAGCGGTCTCAGCGTTATTTATGAATCAACTATTTTGCCCGCTTTGAGAGCTATTTTGGGCCTGTTCCCTTGTTCCACTCGACCAGACTCATAGCTATTTCACTAGAACTCCTTTTATTTTATCGATTGAGTACAAGAAACTGCCCATTTACCTAGTTCAACTATACAAAAAAAGTTGCCGGAATTTACTAATTTGGCCAATCTCTCACAAAATTCAAGAAAGGCCATTTTCAAAATAGGAGCCAGAATAAAGAATGCAGACATTCCTGGCACTAAAATAACATTTTATCTGTTCATTAATCATGTCTCAAGGCCCTTCTTATATAATGCTTGCTTTTCATTTTTAACCCTTTCACTGTTGGCGCCATAATATTACGGCTTGCAAGACAGTGTTGGTGCCAAAGTAATACACCAAAATTCTACCAGCTTCACATCTAGCGAGAGAAATCTGGTAGACCTACATGTGAGAGAATGGGTCTGTGTGGTGTGTGTGTGTGCAGCATAAAAGAATTGGGGAGCCACAGTGCATTGTGGGAGTGCCAATTTAGTACACCTTGTTCACCATGCCTAGCAGCAAGGAATACCTCACTCCCTGGCAAAATGGACTCTTCCCTTCCCAAGTGATAGCTCTGACATAGATGGAAGTGTCAGTGAAGATGAATTTCATGGTCTTGAGGAGTTTGTGACCAAAAGCAATGCCTAGGATACCAGAAATAGTGCTGAAAACCCAGCCAACCATCAACCTTCCACCTCTGGTGCTGGGCCGTCTTGTTCATGTTCATTTGTACCACGGTGAAAGAGGAAGCTTGTATTTTTCCATGTCTCAGTGAATAAATAACTACAGTGGACCCCCGGTTTTCGGCTGTTGCGGAAATCATACAGTTTGGTTTTCAGGCACTTTTTACGGTGAAATTTTCCCACAGGTTTCATACATCCGCTCAGAAATCGTTGATACCAGACACGTCTGCCTGGGCTGCTCATACGTTCATGACTCACTCTTGGGCACATTAAATGTCTTATTTTAGGTTAACATAGACATTTTCATTAATCCATCTATGATATTTTCTTCAAAATTACAGTGGACCCCCGAGTTTCATGATTAATCCGTTCCAGAGAGTCTGCCTAATGGTGAAATTCACAATTGGCAAATCCATTTTCCCCATAAGAAATAATGTAAATCCAATTAATCCATTTCAGACGCCCAAAAGTACTGTATTAAAAAATAATTTTTTTGAAGATTAAATATAAATTTACATACAGAAAACAATGGCAAATAAATGTAAAGCACTAATGAAATGGATAAATGAACATTTAACATCACACTCACCTTTATTGACTCTTGTTGGTGTATGGAATACAGGTAGGAGGGAGAGGGAGGCGAGTTTATTATGCTTCAATATGACGCTACTATCTCTGCGGCTTATTTATCTATCACAATTCATCTAATATGACATAATAAACAATATTAATAACATAGAACCATGATATATACTCTAGAATGCATAAAATGTCATAAATTTTTGAGAGGAGTAAGTGGTGAAGTGTTGTTGTTGGGTTTATAAGGGCCACTTAGAGAAGCCATACATATTAGTGGTGGTGGTGGAGGCGGCAGCAGACGCCACCAACTATTCACACTTAAATAATGTATGTAATTTATAAATAGAAATATTTACATTTTAATTTATAAATAAGTAAGTTTATCCTGACGGTCTGTTGGAGTGTGAGCAGGGTAATATTTAGTGAAGGGATTCAGGGAAACCGGTTATTTTATATAACCGGACTTGAGTCCTGGAAATGGGAAGTACAATGCCTGCACTCTAAAGGAAGGGTTTGGGATATTGGCAATTTGGAGAGGTATATTGTGTATTTTTATACGTATATACTTCTAAACTGTTGTATTCTGGGCACCTCTGCAAAAACAGTGATTATGTGTGAGTGAGGTGAAAGTGTTGAATGATGATGAGAGTATTTTATTTTTGGGTATTTTCTTTCTCTTTGGGTCACCCTGCCTCGGTAGGAGACGGCTGACTTCTTGAAAAAAAAAAAAAAAGTTATCCAGATATACACAAATACAGTTACATAGATTACCATACATAGCAGCATATGTGTAAAGTACCTAGGATAACCCAAAAAAGTCAGTGACTTATTTCCATTGGGATCCTTTTATATTTACACTGATATTTACTTTTATATGTACGCTTTTATATTTACACTTACCTTGGAAAAGATGTTAGTTTAATTAGTTAGTTTGATGGAGGAGATTCTGGCAGAGGTTTAGGGTGGTGGAAGATAGCAGGGTGGTGTATGCTCAGCGGTCCTATACACATCTAACAACACTGGAGAGTTACTTTTGTGTCATTTTTCTATTGCTTAATCACTTAACTTACTTGCTACACTGTTAATTCTACATTTTATCGCTGGCTGACACATCCAACAACATTGGAGAGTTACTTTTCTGTCGTTTTTCTATCGCCTAACTTACTTGCTACACTGTTAATTCTACAATTTATCGCTGGCTGGCACTATAGCCTTTATCGATACCTGCTGCTTTAGTATCGTACATATCGTAGAATCACTGAAGAAGGCACATTCTCCCCTCTGTCTTCCTCCTCCACTTTGGTACTTTGCTACGAGTTTTTTTCTTGAATTCTATTGTTTCTTTCCTTTACCAATGGGCTGGCACTAGGAGTTTTCTTTGGGCTCATGGTGGCTTATTTAGCAGTTGCAAGCACAAAAAACAGTGGATTATTATGAAATGTATCGTATGAACCCATGGGGTGATGGTCACTCTCTGGTAAACAATGGCACACTGAGTGTGAATGGTGTGGGAGACTGGCTTTGTGTGCACGCTGACTGTGGACGTGTACCAGATGGTCGCCGTATCACGAGTCCAGTCACAAACCGCGAAGCTAAATTTTGGCGAAAAAACTTGCCGAAAGTCAGATTTCACGAAATTCACAGCTGACGAAATGCAGGGGTCCACTGTATATAAGAAACATGTTGCATAGCATATAAACATGCCTTTTTTACTCGTTCACTAAGTGTGTCCCTCTAGTGTTAACTCCATATGTAGTAATAATACTAATACATAATAATAATGCCTAATGTGATTTGTTTATTCTTGAACATTGGCATACGTACATCAAGCATTTCCACTACTTGAGCTCAATTTCAAGTTATTTTCAGTACTAAAACCAGTCAAAATAATCTGTTTCTGTAATATATCTTCCATTCTATCCAGTGAGACCAAGAACCTGAATACAACCATAAAAACCATACGAAATATACCACAAAGTTGCTCTTTTAATCCAAAAACACTGTCGTAGTTTTTTCCTCATGCACTATGGGCTGCAGGATTTTTTTTTTACAGTGGACCCCCGGTATTCGATGGCATCGGTATTCGATAAATCTGGTATTCGATGCATTTTAACGCAAAAATTTTGCCTCGGTATCTGATTGAAAACCCGGTATTCGATACGATTCGTATGAGACGTGTCCACGTGTGGCCTGAACTGCCCTGTGTGTGCCAGTGTTTACAAGCCAGCCAGTGTGCGTGCATCTAAAGATACATTCGGTACATTCCATATTATCCATATTATCACTGTGTTTGGTGCTTGTTTCTGCAAAATAAGTCACCATGGGCCCCAAGAAAGCTTCTAGTGCCAACCCTTCGAGAAAAAGGGTGCTAATGACTATTGCAATGAAGAAAGAGATACAGTGGACCCCCGGTTAACGATATTTTTTCACTCCAGAAGTATGTTCAGGTGCCAGTACTGACCGAATTTGTTCCCATAAGAAATATTGTAAAGTAGATTAGTCCATTTCAGACCCCCAAACATACACGTACAAACGCACTTACATAAATACACTTACATAATTGGTCACATTCGGAGGTAATCGTTATGCGGGGGTCCACTGTAATTGCAAAGTACGAAAGTGGAGTGCGTGTGTCGGAGCTGGCCAGGTTGTATACAAAACCCCAATCAACCATCGCTACTATAGTGACCAGGAAAACGGCAGTCAAGGAAGCTGTTGTTGCAACTGTGATTTCGAAACAGCGACCGCAAGTGTTAGAAGATGTTGAGAGACTGTTATTGGTGTGGATAAATGAAAAACAGATAGCAGGAGATAGCATCTCTCAAGCGATCATTTGTGTAAAGACTAGGAAGTTGCATGAGGATTTAATTGAAAAAATGCCTGCAACTAGTGGTGATGTGAGTGAAATTAAGGCCAGCAAAGGTTGGTTTGAAAGATTTAAGAATCGTAGGGGCATACATAGTGTGATTAGGCATGGTGAGGCTGCCAGTTCGGACCAACAAGCACCTGAAAAATATATGAAGGAATTCAAGGATTACATAGACAGTGAAGACTTGAAACCTGAACAAGTGTTTAATTGCGACGAAACAGGCCTGTTTTGGAAGAAATTGCCAAGCAGGACCTACATTACTCAGGAGGAAAAGGCATTCCCAGGACATAAGCCTATGAAAGACAAGCTTACTCTTCT